TTTCATGTTTAGAAACATATTTTTAATGCATATATTTCATTACAATCAGAATGTGCAATTATTTCCCTCCACTGTAATGGAAATCTGCCTTATGTTAATTACTTTTACATCAAATTGAAATAAAACTAAATGTTGTGAATACTGGGAACAAACTTTGGCTGATGGCATTTTTAAGTTCATCATGAAATCAAAACTAAATTGTACATTTCGATCCTAGCAATGGTAGCCACCATCTAAATAACATAATTTGTGTTCTGTAGAGTTTAGCACCAAGCTTCTCCAACACGCCTATAATTTCCTAGTAATCCTGAAGATTATCTGTTTCAAGTAGAGTTGAAGCCATATACAACTTATTTTTACTTATGTGACATATTTTAGTTAGGACTTCACAAACCGGTTTCTGGAGCCCCCGACACTACACATTTTAGGCCAGATTTACTAAACGGCAAATTGGCGTGAGACCACAGTCCCATAAAGGTTGGGGCTCATCTGCGTCATTGTGTGTATATGAAATTGGTTTTGAGTTCAGAACTGCTTCCACCTCTGTCAAGTAGTCGTCTCTTCCAAGGCTTTTCCTAGGACTTTTTTCAGGCAATTCTTTGCTGATCTAACTAGTCTCTCCCAAAGGCCTCCACCAAGCAGTGCGCTCCACAATACATTTCCAAGTAATAACCCTTGAAGAGAAGAAATCCGGAAGGTTTTAAAGGATCTCCACAGATTGGATGTTATTTTGCACAGACGTTGTTTTTTCCCCCGTATTTGTCATTCGGTGGCTCTAAATTGTCAAAACACCTCTCAAAGTGCTTGTTACGGATGCGAAAAACGCATAAAATCGAACCAGATCCGAATTTTTTTATGATGGACGAAAGTTTCGGAGGCAGTGTGTAAACATGATTGACACAACGTGAGGTCGTATTTAGTTTTGAATGTGCGAGAATTTCAGACTCCGTGTGCAAGGCCTTTAACAGCACATGTAAAGAGTGCAATATATGCCTTTTTGATGCACCTTTTGATTGGACATACAATGGGCCGGCAAAATCTACCCCAGTGACTTTAAAGGGTGGTGCTTCGGTTGCTCTGTCCCTTGGCAGAGGTGCAGTAGTTGGCTGAGCTGGTTTTGTTGTCAATCTTTTACAAACATGACAGTGCCCTACATTTTGCTTCAAAAGCTGCCGGCCATGCACAATCCAATATTTCTCTTTCACCTGAACCAGTGTATCCCTTACACCTGAATGCATCATTCTATCATGATAACTCTGAACTAGTAATTCTTTGTATCTCGGACTGTTGTAATCATCCACAAACACTAATCAGTCCATTTTCATCTTAGAATGGTTTCAAATCCTTGATTTGGGAGTCTTTGTCAACCATTGGACCTATTTTGAGCAAATGTATTTTACTCTGTTCCTGAGTTTCCTTTGCCCAATACATTTCAGCTGCAAGTAGTTCTTCCACTGCGAGTTTGCCTTGGATTGTATATCTGGATCGGGCATTGGTTATGAACCTCTTTATCCATGCAGTTATTCGCAACACAGTCTTCAATCTGCTATATTTCGCTAAATCCGAAAGAGGTTCTGTTGGTGCAACACCACCAAACTGCACAGAGACCTCAGTTCAGCGTTCATTTCAGCAACACAGTTTTCCTGCGGCTCTTCCGAGCGAGCTGGAACTGAAGAAGCCAAACCAGCAGAGTTTACTCTGTATCAGATCATCTGCCTCTTACCATTGCAATGTGACCACGATTCAGGGTTTGTGAGACTTTAAATGTCAACTTTAAATGGTTTGCATTTCTGTGCAGAACTCTGTATCCAGCGTAAGACAATTACTGAATCTGTCCACTTGCGAATTTGATTTTTCTACATTTTCAAGGGATTAACCAGATTATGTCCTGTTCTAGCTCGGATTAGAGCTCCCATTACCTCTATATGTGGTCAACTAAGCTTCTTCACAGGAGCAACTCTTGCCTTTGACGCTACAAAACTGAAACAAGGCGCACAGCCAAGAGAGCGCACGGCTCGAGCTCGCTCGAAACCACACGCTCACACAAAGACAAGGCAATACAGGAGCGCCGTCACAAAACCAAGAATAAACTAGACCGAAGTGACAAAACCCTGACAGTTACAGTACCGTGCCTCTTTCTGTCTAGTATTTCCCAGTGCCAGGAGTTTAGAGATGGTAGCAATATGACAAGCAGTCTGATGTTAACAATGACAGTGTGGAAGATTGTAACAAACCCGTCTCCATACCGCGTGATGACTCCGATCTTCAACCAGATGAACTGGATAAATATTCAGAATGTTCCGATCCAATCTGACCTCTGACCTGTAATGTTGCCTGGATCATCATCATACACTGTTCGTTGTCCAGAGAAGAACTGAGCCTAGCAAGGTTTTCTTCTCCGTTCTGCCACTGATGGAGTTTGGGTTCCTCGCCACTGTCGCCTTTTTCGCCTTTGGTTTTTGGCTTGCTTAGTTGGGGACATTTAATATTACAACAATATTATTGATCTTCTGCATTGACACCATTATATGAGAACTGAACTGAGCTGGACGATGACATCACGGTTTTCTCCAGAACGGCTATATATATATATATAAATGAACTAAATGAATAACTTTTTTTACAACAAAAATGAACCATCACTGAACTTACATAAGGTGGACTCTGTGACGCTATTTTCTTCTAGAAACAAACTTTGTTGCATTATTTTCCTGTTATCTCTGTAAAGCTGCTTTGAGACACTGTATTGTAAAAGCGCTATATAAGTAAAGGTGACTTGACTTGACTAGCTGTGAAGCCAAAGGCTGAAGGACAAACAACTGCTTCAAACAGTTAAGGCATGGATATAGGGTCCGGCAGGTTGGAAATGAGTACGTTGTTTTTTTGGATGGAGGCGGTCAGAGAAGCTCTGTGCAAGACAGGCTAGAGAAAACACTCGAATTACCCGTGCTGAATACAGAGGCAATGAATCTCCACAGTTTCAGAGCTGAGTGTCCTGTAACTACAGAACACAACATCATGAAATTGACACTTGAAAATGTATGAGAATCAGAGAATAGAAATTGCAGCAATAGGGACTCCTCAAGTCTGTACTGCTGTTATGAAAGTCACTGGAGAACATGCGAGTCTTTGGGAAAACTGAATAAGACGGCTGAGAGTCCAGAAGAAATTAAGCCTTACAACATTTTAACCAGACAGTAACTTTTAAGGATGGACATTTTCAGGTTGTTTTACCCTGGAAACCAAATAAACCAGAACTACCAAACAACTTCAAGGTGCCTAAGAAGAGGTTTGAGAAGCTGCAGAGAAACCTAAAGGCTGACGTAACCTTTTACACGAAATACAGAGACGTAATACAAGACTATTTACAGCGAGGCATATTTGAAGATGTTCCAGCCCAAAACTCACAAGCAGAGAAAACCGATCCGGTTAAATGCTATCTACCTCACCATGCTGTGCTTAGAGATCGGATCTCAAGTGGACGACGCTAATACAGGTGTAAACGGGGTCTAAAACGCTTTGAACTTGTCCAGTTTGACCACTTCCAGAGTTGAAAACACATTCGACCGGATTGCTTTCATAGTGTAAACACTCATGCGGTCGAATGTGTTCAAACAGCCACAATAGACCGTCTACTCTCCGCCTACTGATCTAATGCCTAAACACTATGGGAAGAGCTCTAGCCAGACGGGATTTAAACTTTGTCGACTGGAGACACAAGTTTGGTTTGAAGACAAAAATGTACCAAGCTCAATGTTCTCTCACCATTCCTGATTTCTAACACACACTCGCTGTGTTCGGCTGGTCTTCGGCTGTCAGAGCAGAAACTAAAGCTGATGCTCTCTGTGTGTTTCTCTCTCGTCATATGTAAATTGCACAAGATTATATTTTGTCCATTAGATTGAGAGATCTGGAAAAGCCCATATATTTACTCGCCCATAGACCCTCACCTGGACAGAAATCAGGACAGAACAGGTCTAAAGTGGCCTGGTTAAATCCAGACCATTCTCAGTTGTAACTGAGTTATGGTCTGGCAAAGCGTCATAGACAAATCATTTCCAGAGGGGCGTCACCAACGGACGTCGCGGATAGACCTAAACCCAATCAGAGCGATGAAGGAGATGACGTATGCAGAGCGGCGGAGACACATCTCCGAGTGTTGTTCTTTGCTCGGTTTTTAACTAAAAGGAAACGTTCAAATCGCTTAAAACAGACGCGATAGCTGATTGGAACGAGTGATGTTCGACGGCGGCATCCATCTTTGTAATGTTGGCTACAAAATCTGCTCCAAAATCCCAGCGCTGTCGTCATCGTGTAAAGCCCGCCCCAACGCTTCTGATTGGTGCCGCGATTTCGGCGGATTGGAAATGGGCTTGAATGAGCTCTTTGCCAGACTAACTTTCAGAGCAAATCTAAATTTGCCGGAAGTTGTCTGGGTTTTAGACAAAAGAGACGGATTAAAACACCAGGTGTACACGGATATGTGTCTCCCTCGTCCACTTGTGATCCGATCGACCAAAACACATCTTAATACCAGGTGTAAACAGGGCCTAAAAGACGCTGTTAAGGATAAGAGCCTTCAGTGATGGAAAGTTGAAAGCATGTGGTTGTAAACTGTGGTCATGTCTTGTAAAGCAGCACCAGCATGGTGTTTGTGCATCAGAAAGATCAGTGCTGTAGAGACGTGGCAGCTCTGCTGAATGCGGTATGGGGTTAAATTAAACGTCGGACTATGTGCTTCATTTCCTTGAAACAATTTTGGATTTACAGCTCAAAAATGGTGCATTAATAATACATAAATTATAAATAATTATAATTAAATGCATTGTAAATATATCACCCTAAAAATTTTCTAATTTTTAGTTCCAGGTTTTCCTGATTCTTCGAAGAAAAATACTATTTAGGCTTTTCTTTGCTGGTTTAGCTAATTTTAAAGCCTGTTTTAGCTCATTTTGCCTTTTTTCAAAGCCGCTGAGTCCCCCTTCTGGGCCCCGGGCCCCTGTTTGAGAACCACAGCTTTACATAAGAGCATCCGAGCCTCGACACATCACGTGACTGGATCCTGAGCGCCAGTGGCTCGCGTCACGTGACTGGTGTCGACACCACTCCTCTGACAGGGATCTCGCCTATGGTTCGCTCAAGCACAGGTGTGCAGTCTTTCTGAACAGGTTTGATTTTACACCATTTCCTTCGTTACATTTCTTCACTGTTATGAATAGAGTGCTGTGTGTGAGCCGCGGTTGTCCCGTTAAATCCCCGTGTTGCTGTTGTAAATCGCGAAATGGTGGCAGTGACACAGCCCAGAATAAAGATAGCGTATGGAGGACGGGTTTCTGCTGTACTGGATTTTGATATTACTCGATTTTCGTCGATAAAGGCGTTTCATGGTACATATGATGGCGTTTTTTGAGTACATATGGAGCTCAACGCAGTATTAGAGTCTCAGATAGATGTCGAGCATCATCATCTTCATCAGGAGGACTCCTCTGCTAAACCCTCAACATTATCCTTTATTATCATCATTATTACATCTTTTACAGCAACCTTATTCTACAATGTGGCAAACTGCGCCTATGATTTTTACCGAAATGTTGATATTTGATTAATATTTTTACAGTAAAGCGTCGGCCTGGTTTCTCGGGGTTTATTCATGAGAATGTCTGGCATTAAAACAAACACATTTGCATTTTTATACTGTACAAACCACTACTGTTCTGTTTGAGCTCAGTGGAAGTGCAGGGCCTTTTGTGTAATGACTGAATAGTGGATATATACTCCTTTTTTTTCAGTTTAACTCAGATTTCCTTTAAGATTTAGGAATGTCACAGTGAATAAACTAAACCTAGTGTTGTGGACTGAAGGCTAGGGCTGATATTTTATACGTATGCTAATTATATATAAATTTTATATACATCATTTTTCCCAAACTGGCATTTCAAACACTCTTTGTTTTTGAAAGGACATTCTGTCCTTATTTTATTCTAATGAACTGGGTTTGGCAATAATGTAGCCTAAATGTTAACTACTATTCAGTGATGGCATAATCATTTCATATGTGCAAATGATTGTGTTATTACTTGGTTAATGTTTTGATTATTAGTAAGTGTGTAAATATGATCTTAAATTTGGTAATTTTCTTTTTTTATTAGCCTACATTTTTCGGGTCACACTTATTAGGGTATAAATATTCACTATTAACTAGTTTTCCCTCAATAAACTCCTAATTACTGCTTATTGACAGTAAATAAGGTAGTTAGGTAATGGGAAGGGTTAAGTGACGTAGAATATGGTCATGCAGAATAAGGCATTAATATGTGCTTTAGGCTGTACTAATAGACAGACAATATGCTATTAATATGCATGTTTCTCTTTTCATTAATTTATTTATAAAGCACAATTTAATACAACAGCATTTGTAAAGATACAAATAAATAAAGCAGGTGATCCAGAAATAACACAAATTCAAAGTAAACACAGAATTCAGTGTAGAATATGCCTCAGTACCCAGTAGAGTTAAAAGCCTGAGATAATGGATGAGTTTTAACACTAGATATAGTTGGAGCCGCTCTAACATGCAGCGGTAAACGATTCCAGCCCTAAGTTTTAGTCTAGACCTATAGGAACAGTTAAAGCAGCTGATCAGAGCTCAGATGTGTGCTGTTTTACAGGACTGTTAGAGAAGCTGCTGCCGGTTGGCATTTAGTGATTTAAAGGTGCATTGCGCAACATTTCATGTTAAAAATACCCGTTTTTCTAACCCATACATGCTTAAACAATTGCCTGATGGGCTGAATGAGCCCTTCTCTGATCACTGCGATTGCCTCTATAATCCTGTACAGTAAAATTAATAAGAGGGATTCGGGACGGAATTTGAGACTGGGCGTGACGTCCCCTGGCTATGTCTGGCAGGTTTGTGTATTCGCCGCCATTCTCCGTATCAGCGAAGACAACTCGAGCGACAAAACTTCAGTCAACTTTCGACAAAAGTAGAAGATGGATTCAAAGAGACCGGCTTGTAGTTCATAAACCCCAACGCAAACTCCACGCAAGACAGACAGTAAGGCAGTTTCGCTTGTCGCCAGAGGGGGGCATAGTTCTGCAAAAACTCAGAGAGGTGCGCAATGCACCTTTAAAAACAAACTGGAAAAGATTAAATCAATGCGGAAACGTACTGGCAACCAATGAAGATAGAATCGTAATGTTTCTGCGTACCTGCTGTCAGCATCCTAGCGGCTGCATTTTAGACTGAGGCAACACTGTCTATCTGACTCCTATACACAGAGAATTAAAGACATCCAGCCTTTTATATCATTTAGACAGGTTAAAAGAGGAGTTAAGGCATTCTTGTTATTCTGATAAATCTGTCTATCATGCTAATAAGCTGTTAGTCAATAGTAAATATGTATCTAATCTAAAGTGTTACCGATTAAAAAAAAAAAAAATGTTACACTATTTATCCCAACCTAAATGTAAAGTTTTTCTTATCTAAATAAATCTCTTATCTAAACACTCATGAAGCTCAGTGGGCCCACTTGACAAAAAATAAGTAATATTAATAAACACATCATTCATTTCAGTGTTCTTGGTTAGATGCAATACAAAATACTCCTTTACAATACCAAGAATCAAAGAATACAAAAAAAAAAAACATATCAGGTTTTATTTTAATGAATTAATCTCATAATGATAATAACAATTATTGTTGTTATTGTCATCATTATTATTTAATCAATACTTCTCAATAATACTGTACAAAGCAAATTAAGTTTTATTGGCATACCTTGCAAGGCATGAATCTGTATTTAGAACGAGCACTTTGATTTTTGCATTATAAATGTCACATCCTCCAGCTGGATTACCCTTGATCTCCACCAGAGGGCACTCCTCCTACAACTACATTTCCCATAACCCATTGCCTGGACCCACTGTGGTTTGATTACTTCCACCTGTGTGTCATTTGCTTGTTAATGTTGGCCTGTATAAGCTCTCGCTGCGTCCCAATTCGCATACTATCCGTCCTAAATAGTATTCGAAAATAGAATTAGTACGTCCCAAATCGTAGTATGTTGAAATGAGTGTCCCAAAGAGACCCGGATGGTCTACTATATCCGGTCAGAATCCGAAGTGCAGATCGATGCGCACTCTAACGGCTGATATTGCCCACAACCCATCGCGCGTTGGATGAGGATTCGGTTAGAACTACAAACACGAATGAAAAGTGTTCAAAAACTACAGACATGGAGGACGCGCGAGTCCGACGGTTATGTAGATAAAGGGGTTTGAGTGATTAATTATCAGTATCTAACCTGACGAAAATGTATTTATTCAATGTTGTCCACATTATATTGCATCTGCAGCAGCATTGTGAACTTTTGCAAAGATACGTTTAGCCATTAACTTTTAAATGCCTTATATTCAAATTCCAAACACATGAGGAGAGTCTCCGCATGAAAGACCCACGACTGGCAGATGAACGTGCGACAACAATTCTCTCCGAAATGGTAAGAAGTTATATTAAATTGAATGGAGGATTTTAACTGTGACGAGATGATTGACAGGGCAGTTTACGGTGATAGGATGCACGCGACAGATCTGTCCGTTAAAGATGACGAAGTAGTATGTCCCAAAGCTTGCCTACTCTTTTGCTACACACTCAAAAGTATGTACTTTTTCTTAACAAAAAGAGTACATACTTTTAGGGCGTAGTATAAGTAGGCGAATTGGGACGCAGCAACTGTGTTTCCCCTCACGCTTTTTTGCGAAGTCTTGTTTGTGTTACACTGCATTTCTGATACGCGTTTCCCGTACGATGGTCCTGATCTTCTGCCTGGTTTCCTGGATTTCCCTGTTTGCCCTGTGTTTTGACCATTTGCCTGATATGTGGATTACGATTGTAGATCTTCTAACCGTGTGTCAGAGCAGTACGCAACGATATACACTAGTAATGGGAAATTCGGATCAATTTAATGACTCTCGTTCAATCTCATTTATCAAAATGAACGAATCTTTAGTTTAAGTGGCTTTAAATGAATGTTCCCAAATTCCCGAACACATCCACCAATGCAATCTTGATCATATTCTGAATTGAGAAATCATTATAATACATCCAAAGATAATTTACAGGGAACATAAATATTTACTTTACCTTCCAAATATTTACTTTACCTTCCAAATCTTTTGTTCATTTGTCATGTGACAGATGCAATGAACGAATGATGTTAGTTCATCACTAAGATACACTGAGGGGGTGCTACCAAATTAAATTACTGTAGTATTTCATAAATGAGTGCGGTTACTAATAATATTACATATTTTGTCATGAAAATGCACATTTGACAGTAAATCACTGAGCTTGAATTGGGATGCCGATGTTAATTTACTTATAATATAAAATGTAAATGCTCTGACAGTGTGATTTAATGTAGACTTGACCTTGATACTATATTTGCTCATAATTTACCATTGTTCTTCAATAACACTATTCATTTAAAGATAATTAAAAACACAAACATGACAGTTGCTGCAATTAGATTTAGGTTCAGTTTGCATAATATTTACTAAAATAATTAAAAAAATAATAATTTGAATATAAATCAATTTGAGGGGCAAAAAAAAACTTTATAAATAAACAGATTTATACTTCAGATCACTGCAGAGTTGTAGAAGTCTGTATTTAAAATGAAGAAGCTGTTGAACATCAGAGAAGGACAACTGTCCCGGCATAAACCCAGTTTATGAGCCTGTGTAGTCAAGTCAAGTCACATTTATTTCTGTAGCACTTTATACAGTACAATACAGATTATTTCAAAGCAGCTTCACAGTTATAAACTGTAAAACCAGTGAAGAAAACAACAGTTCTCACACAATAGTGTACAGTCAAATCAATAATATTGTTGAATATTAAGTGTCCTTAATAGGCAAGCCAGAGGTGATGATGGCAAGAACCCAAACTCCATCAGGGAGAAACCAGGATCAGTTCTCCTCTGGCCAAACGAACGAACTCGGTGAAATACAAAACAAATCACACTTTGTGTCTGTATTTTTTTATTTTGTAGATTATAGTATCTGGTATAAAACATATGCGGAATAAATCTGCATGTCCTGCAGTCGAGTCTGTCAGACTTTGGAGCTGTAATGGCTTGATTGG